AAAATAGCAGGAATAGGAGGTAAATTATATAAAACAACAAGTACAGTAGTATCTAAAATACTACCAATATCAAAAACAATAACATCAATAATACCTGGTGGACAAATGATTGAAATGGTACTTGATAGACTCCCTAAATGGTATGAAACAAATGGAAAAACACTTACAGAAATAAGTGAAGGAAAGAAAATAAAAGATGTTATTAAAAATTATGGAAAAACACTTTATAATGATGTTATTTTAAATAAAGATAATACAAATCATTATAATTTATCATCATTATCTCCTTTTGAACAACAAAAATTAACAAAATAAAGAAAAAGAAGAATCAATTAATAATTGAGAGGTCATTAGAATTTAATTGTTCTTTTAAACTCTTCAAGAGTCTTTACCTTAAAGTCCCTTTCTATAACAAAGTGAGGACCATACTTTGATAAATCAAAGGTATAGGATTGCCTGCATATAAATATTCATATAAGGCAATCACATCCCTTTTGAACTTCTCATTGGCTGTGCCAATGATTACATCCTTAGGGATTCCTTTCATTCTTATCAAATAATCAATGTCCCCATCTTCATTGGTGAGGACATCAAGGTAAGACTTCTTACCTAGAAAGATAGACTTAATTGCCCAACTTTCTTTTCCATTCACTGGTGGGAAGTCAGAATGGAATTGACCTATGTCATTTCCCACTAATTCACTATTATATTTGATATAATAGGATTCTCTCAATTGAACTAATTTATCTTTTTCAATATGTATACTATCAGTATCCTGATAATAAACATTTATGTTATTATCTTCACATAAGTAAATTAATTCATTCATAATCCTTTTAGACATAGAAAGGATCAATACACCAATAATATTAGGTACATAAAATTCATCCAACTGTTTCTTTGTTTGAAGTACCCAAATATCTGATTCAAACAATTGTTCTCCTGATAAAATATCTTCTAAATTTCTTCTCCAATAGGAGAGCATTTTTGTTCTTGTTCTAAAGATTTTTTTCTCTACCATTATAGGTTTTTGTATTGTTTTACCATAACAGGAATTCATTATTAATTTAAATATTACTTCAC